TAGAAAAGTTTAAAAGTTTAAACTGTAGCGGAAAACCAAAGAATATATGGAGTATGAAAACGGCAGAATTTATCGTTATATAAAAATATGGGAAAAATATTATCTTGATCATTACAAAGTATTAAATCTGATCAGATGCAGATTTGACAGTTTTATTGGTGGGTACAGTCGTTAACAAAAATCATGTGATTACTTGATTGCAAAATTTTTTAGTTTTCCAAACTTCATGCCCAAAAACTAAATCGCCATTTTAGAAAACTGCGATATTCAATGGGTTCTTTTTTGGTATTTCTATTTTAAGATTTGAAACTGCTTTGTTTCTTAATTCCGATTTAATAGAATTCAACTATAATAAGGGAGCTAATGCTATTAGTAATAACGATAAATTACAATATATCTACATTAAAAATATAAATACAAGTTATACAATAAATGTAATCGTCCTATTCATTAATCGCTTCCATTCTCTTCATAATCTAATTCAACCTTTGACAACACATTCAATAACGCTTTTCCAGACATCTCTTCAAGATAAGCAACACGCTCTGATTCCACAACTTCATTAGTCTTTCTATTGCTAAGAACCATCATCATTGCAGCGACTCGAATACTTTTGTTATTTGCTTGTGATTTTTTAATAGGTAAAGGTGTAGAAACTTTTGCCATGTGAAATAACATAAAAGTTTCCATTTCTAATGTTCGTGTGTCGGGATATTTGACGAGTATTTGCTCAATAAGATTATGATTTGCGTCAAGAAAATTGTTATCTAGACGCCCTTGTGACGAGTAGAAACTATCACAAGAACCATTTAGACCGGTATGCAATTCAGACTGTGGTATATATTGCAATAACTCTTTCTGTAACTAAAAGACAATGAAATAAAATTCATTAATCTTGTTTTATTGAATTCGCCCAGCAAACGCTTACCTTTGAACACAAGTCTGGGTCCGCATAAAATAATTCAGTAATATTGTAAGGTTTGGAGTTTGATTCTGCATCATCCGCGAAATAATCATAATTTCTTAATACGGCGAAAGCACTGTGCGGTACCATTATCGATCCGGTTGTTGCGGGACCAATTGAACCACACGATCCAAAACGAATAATTATTAATGGGCCATCAACTACAGCACGAACTTCACGTACAAAGAAGTCCATCATCGCTAATCCCTACGATAGAAAATTGAACAATAAGCATGAATTTCAGTTGATTTTAAGAAAAGAATAAATACCATTCCGATGGAAACAATGCTAATCGGCACACCCTGATAACAACCGGTTTTAATAAAGAATCCACGATCTGATTCAATTGTGAGTATTGGTGAATTGTCGTCTAATAATTTTGCGATAGTACGAGCACGAGAGGGTTCACCAACTGTTATTATTCGATTAGCGACTAAATAAAAATTACACGATGCAATTATTTATTTAATTATTCACTTGATTTCATAATTACTGCGAATTCAACAAGCAATAATAATAATGGTTTTACCTTCACCATGTTTAACCCCAACATGATAAACACGTCCGTCAGCGGTTCTCGGAAAATTGGCGTTCGTAAACTTGAATTGCATTTTAAATAAATAAAATTCTATGTATTTTTTTTTTCGAAGGATAAGTGTCAAAGAAAAACAAGATAAATGTTTTATTTTCCTTTGATCATTACGTGACAGTTGAGATAACACTGTGTTATGGATCTCTAACAAGCCATTTTTGCGCAAAGATCCTTTTCAATTAATATTATGAAGTTATACTATATTTAATTTAGCATAAAAATTTTTTTATGAATTTAATTTTAATTTTGACCAATTAAAGGATGATCATTTAATCATTTTCGAGTCTAAAATGGGCAAATCACGTGATTTCAGTCTTTAAATGTTATAAATAAAATATGTGATGCAACTTATTTAGACCAATAGAATTTTGACACGACCATATTTTGACGCGTTGATATATTTTCTACGCGCGATCATATCACCATCTTCATTCGCTCGATTCAAATAAGACGATGCTCAAAATGAATTTCTTCGTTAATCTGGTGCTATTACGATCTTTGTTCCTTCTTGGAAGCTTTTTGGTCTCGCTTAGTCACGCTTTATATGACATTAATGGGGATGTTGTCACGCTCACAGATAAAAATTTTCAGGAGCAAGTGATCAAGACTGAGGCGAGTCTTTTTTTTAAGTCTGTAGCAAGCCTCACTTTTTTATAATTAAACTAAATCGAATCTTTTGTATAAAATGATGCACCTTATAGAAAGTTGTGCTGGTTGAATTTTTTGCACCTTGGTGTGGGCATTGCAAAAAGTATAAGAGAAATTATTATTAACAAACAATTTCGAAATTATAGAAACACACCTAATGTATTAATGTAATAATAAAACAGCTTGGCACCAGAATACAAAAAAGTCGCAAAAAATCTCAAAGGTATAGCAAGGGTGGCTGCAGTTGATTGCGACAATAAAATGAATCAGGCCATATGTGGATACTATGATATTAAAGGTTCTTGAAGGTTTTTTCATGTTTTTTTCAAAATTCAAAAATTTGTATTTGCGCCTTTGTTCGAATAATTGAAAAATTCTTATGTATTTAATTCTTTACCGGAATCAAGGGTTCCCAACAATCAAACTCTTTCCGAGTCAAAGTGTGCCAGATAAAAAAAATCCAGGCGCATTTACAAAGAAACCGAAAGGTATAATTAAATCTATACTTTAATTAAATATGCATGCACATTGATTAAATCATCCGAAAAAAAAAGATTACCAAGGACCTAGAACTGCAAAAGCTATTGTGGACTATGTTCTTGGGGAAATTCCTTCATACGTACAACCAATCTCCGACAAACGTCCAACAAAGAAAACTTTGACTATTAAGGAATTTCTTGAAAAAGATGTAAGTTTTTTAATTCATTTTAATCCTACCTCTCAAAAAAAAATCAAATACACACATATATGCTTATTGATATACAAAAATTTCGCTGAATAAATTAGAACGCTACACTTTCAAAAGCAATATTATTCACCAACAAAGAACGAACAACACCCTTATACAAATCACTATCAGTTGACTTTCATAATCGTATGTTGCTCGGAGAAGTACGTCAATCTGAAGCGGAGATTATAAACAAATTCGGGATTAATAGTTTTCCAAAGTTGTTGGTGATCCCTGCGGGGGAAACTGATGCGGTCGAGTTTGACGGTATGGTTTTTTATGGGATATTTAAAATTTATTTTTTATGTACTGATATATTTTATATAATTAGGAAAATTAAATCACGGTTCGATATCCGAATTTCTTGCAAAATATGCGCCATTACCTTCAAAGAAATCACAAAATAAAAAATCAGGGAAATCGAAGTCTAAAAAGTCAGAAGATAATGAAAAAATAAAAAAAGACGAACAGCCGATTGAACCAGAAATATGTATGTGTTAATAAAATGCTCTCAAGTGTTTAAATACTAAGGAAGGTTTTAATCTTTTCTTTACATCATATCAAACAGTTAATCCTGAAATATCGCAAATGCAAACCCAAACAGATCTTGAATCACAATGCACATCAAAATCCACCGGACTTTGTATACTCTCATTTATTCCACTAGAACCAGAATTCCCAGAATCAGTCGCTGAGAACGAAAGCAACCAAATAATTCTCCGTCGTGTAAAAGAAGAATTACACAATGATGCCTCCGTGAAAATTAATCTCTACTTTAGCTGGTTGAATGCTCTTGAAACCGGTGCACAGAAGCTAATCAAAGACTTCAAGTTGTCGGATGTCTATCCGACTCTGATGGTCTTGAACCCGAATCGTAAAGTTTTTCAGCCTTTCTTGGGGCCTTTTGAAGATGTGGCTATTGAAAATTTCATAAAGGAAGTGATTAAAGGGAAGGGGAAAAGCTTTGCCTATGATTTCCAGGTTGATTTTGGTGAAGTTAAAGTTGATAAGGATGACGGTATTAAATCTACTAGTACAGTTGTGGAAAAAGAACAAGAAACTGAGCCAAAATTAGCGGAAAAAGTTGTCGGTGATGATAATGTAAAAACTAAACACGAAGAGTTATAATTTAATTTAATAACGATAACGATAGTATTATATATAATAAAAATTATCCTAAAAGGTGTATATCAAACCCCCACATAAAAAAGAGGTAATTAGTCACGCGCCCCAAAAAATCAAGACACGAGTATAAATACTTTAGAAAATTTCTTTTGCTTTTTTTCTGAATTATTCGTCCTTTTTCTTAAAAGACAATTTTTAAGCATAAATAATTAGTAATTCCCCCTTCCCCCACGATAAATGATTAACATGCGACAAGAGGATATTTAAATATATATATATATAATAGAAGGAAACGTGCGACAATATATATATATGTATGAAAAGAAAACTGTTAAGTGTTCTGCATCACGAATTCTGAACAAACAAGAACTAACAAGAGACACCCGATTTTTTTCGTGTTCTGCTGTGAATTTCTCAAGTGCCTCTCCGGTTCTAAAAAAATTTGCTCTCTTTCTCCACAATGGCATCACCAGCTAATGCTCATTATGAAAGGGTATTATTATTTTATCCTTTTCCTATTTTATTATTAAAACTTGAATATGATTTTGCTGGAAACAATTCGCAATTTATAAAATTTACTACACGCATAATTAGCATTAGCATTATCATTATTGTTACTATTAAATTGTATATTAATGATCATACAGAATCGTACGACTTGGTTTTTAACAGACCCGCGTCTTCGCGAAGAATTCTTTTCGTTGCCGAGTCTTCAGCCTGTTATAATAGAAGAAGATGATAACAATAAAAAGGAGAAAAATGAATCAAAGACTAAGGCGAGTCGAGCAAAAGATCTCAATGCAGCACCCAGAAAGTATAAAAGACGAAATACAATAAAGAAGGATATTCCGAATAGTGACAAGCAACAACCGCAGCCACCTCAGGTTACTATCTTAGACAATGATGGTAAAAACACGCGTTTGCATTCAACATCGTCAACAGATCAATCCCAAAATAACCCCAATACCGATACCAATAGCAAACATGACAATAATCCAACAAATTTAACAACAACAGTACTAAAGAAGAAAAGAGCATCAACTTCAAAAATATCAAAGACACCAAATAAAGCTAAAAAGAATAGCACAACGTTCATCTCCGACTTACCCGATCAACCATTGGACGATTCATGGACACAATCAGATGATCCTGGAAAAACGGACGATAGTGATGACAAAAGTAGAGTGACAGATTTTTCTGTAGCAGCTGCGATAACTTCTATAAACTCAAATTCTTCCACCGCTACTATACACACCAGAAAGAAGTCCAAATTAAAAAACGCCTCAAAAACAAGAACCCTAGTAAAACAGAGAAAAGTATCATTAAACAAAAAAGAAGTACTGAAAAAACTCATACAGAAGATGAATGATAAGAAACAACTTCGCAACGATAGAAAAGAAGGCGACGAGGAAGGAAAAAATTTCCCAGAAAGTCAACAACAACCACCACTACCACCACCCCAATCTTTGGGCGCAAGTCAAAGTGAAATTGACGAAAAAGACGGGTCTCTTGTCACTGATGAAAAGGACAAGTCTAGTATTAAACCTTTGGAGGAGACAATTATTAGTGAATTACTCACAGAGGAACCCGAAGAAGAGACCTCTGCCACTAACCTTGACTCGCTTCACGAAAACGAGGAAGAGCAATCTCAGCAGCAATTGAGAAGTAGCAGTCGTAACAAGAACGAACGCCAGAAAAGTAGGGATAAAACAAATGAAAGTGAAGAGCATGCCGCTGCGGAGAAAACATTTACTGGAAAACAGAAAGACGTCGATCAAGAAGACAATGAAGATGAAAACGTGGCTGGTAAAAATGATTGTATTAGCTATAGAAAACAATATTATTTCATGCGCGCATACTATGATAATGTTATTGCTATTTCTGCCTTACTTAATATTTTTGTAATATTTAGTCCCCCCTCGACCAGTGCGAAGGACCAGGAGTCAATATAGTAACAAAGAGGCATCGATTTATCAACGACCAAAGATGGAAAAGCTGGAAAAATCCTCGTCTAACCATGCTTTCGTTGGAAGAGAAGTAGTTTTCGGTGAGAAGAATCAATAATTATTTTTATGTATTCATTGTTCAATTGATTGATTGATCGCAAATTAATCTCGTTTATCATTCTCTTAAATTTCCAGTTGATCCACGTGATAAAACTGAAAAATTTTGGTGGCCCGCTATGGTAAATATATTTTTCAATATCAGTAAGCTACAATTCATCGTTATTTGATTTATCGATATTGACATTTATTATCTTAATCTGATCACAGGTTGTTCCTCACGGTGAAGTAGATGAATCTATGGGATTTGATGAGTTAGGACCCAACGAGGTCATAGTAAAATATTTTGAGGATTGCACATAGTAAGTAAATAGCAATGTGTTGAAATCAACTTATTGCTTTGTAATATTTTTTCATACCTATTTATCTCTTTTGCTATCCTGTATGATAATAGTTCTGCAGTACCATTAAAAGAGATCAAGAAATTCGATATCCATACAGATCCATTTCTTAAATACAAACAAAAATATGGCGCCGAATTTATCAATCATGTAGGCGTGCAAAACGCAGTCCAATGCATAGCAAATGGTGAGCCGGACAAAGAATTCAAATGGGATTACTGGATGAGACCTGCGGATACGTCAAATATCCCGGCAACAAACACAAATAATCATTCCATTTCTAATAATGCGGATGCAATTGACAGTGGTAACCTGGTGACTACTCGTAAATCTACGCGTTCACGAAAAGGAAAAGAACGTAGTGATACTTATGAAGTTGGATCCACGAAGACGAAAACTGAACCGAAGGCGATTTCGAAATCTACGCGCAGAAAATTACCTTTCGTGTCTTCTAGTACTGCTGCTATTGCTACTAGGAAAGGGGGAACATCGTCGACATTAGTAAAAGAAAAAGTAGCAACCTATACTGGAGCGACACCAGCCGGCAAACATCAAAAAACAAGTCGCAGGACAGCATCACGGAAACAAAGTATTTCATCTAGTAGATCTGCCGATTTGGGAGATATAATTGAGGATGCAGTAATGCCGGATAAACACTCCACGGTCGATGATATTGCTTCAAAGAAAAAGGCAACCACCCGACGACGTTTGTCTACGCAAATACCGGAATCCGATGACCCGGTTGACATCGAAGGTGTTTCTCCTATTGATATAGGATCTCCTTCTATTGACAAATCAAAGACTAGTAAACGAACCCGTGACGCTTTATCCGATTACGAGCAATCAGATAACGAATCCCCTGTTAGAAAATCCAGTCGAAAAGGCAAAGGTTACAAGTCAAAAGGAAAGAAAACCGCAGCCACCAACGCAGCTGGTTCCTCCACTTCTCCGATATTTGTTGAAGACACAGAAATTGGTTCCTCAAAGGGCGTTAAAGATCCCACAAAAAAAATTAAACCTGTAACGAGACGCGCACGTTCACCTGAAATCTCGCAAGATGATCTGCCTGAGGATTCCCGGCGTAATATTGAGCGTTTCAACTTTGATGGCCCACCCGATGAAAAGGAACGGGAATATCAAGAAGCACAAGATCATATGAAATCATTAGGTAATCAATATCGTGAGTTGAGCAAGGAAAACGAAGAAATGGATAAAAAGATCCACAAGAAAAAAATAGATCGACGACGTGCTCGCAATGCTGAATTAACTCAAAATCGAAAGAAAGCTGCCAAGTCTGATGGTGCAGAGCCAGATGAAATCCACGATCTCTCGCAAGAAGATGACGATGATGATGATGATGACGATGATGATGACGATTATGCAGATGACGTTCACGAGGATGAAGAAATTCATGAACGCGAAGATGAACAAACTGAATACTCGAACGAACAATAAGGGCTCACACCGCAGTTTATTTGTGTATCAAAGAAATAGTACCTATCGGTATTTTTGTTTTGCCGTTATAAAATGGACATCACACTAACATTTGCATGAACAATTATGAGGGGAATTATCAATTTTAATTTTTTCTAATCTAATAGCGTAACCTTCTATTTTGGATACTAACTGTTAATATCAAAAAAAGATTTAATAAATTATTTCACTCATTACATTGCTTGCTTGTATATAATACAGTCCACACGGAAAATAGTGGCGGAAAAATTTTTATAATATAATTAGCCTCTGTTAAAAAAGACTGGTGTGAAAAAACACATGACACTATGAACCTCTGGGCAGAATTTTGATAATTGAAAGTAATGACGATTAGTTTTTTAAAATCCAGGTGCAATTTAGACAAATATAAAAAATTTTATCTCTAGAACACATCTAAGTAGGGCATCATACTTAAAATACATACAATTGCTCTTATAATTATAGAATCAGGAGGTTTATACAGTCAAACCCCTTTATACCGGCTGCATTGAACTGGCCATTTTGGGCCGGTATAACGTGACGCCGGTATACTGTG